ATGTAAATGCAACAGCAGTGAAAAGTTTTGAATGGGGAACGACTGCAGCAGCACGAGTAAGGAATGGGTTGAGTTCATGTGGTCCAGCTCCAACTATAAGATCAGTCAAAAAGGAACTGGCTGTGTCATAATATGACGGAGATGTTATGTTACGGTGCAGTTTGGACTCCCCTGCTTTTGAGTCTTAAGATTATTTAAACTGTTATTAAATTACAGAAACTACTGACTTGACTATATATACCTACCTTGATAGGTTTTGCAACTGCACTTTGGGACACATTCGAAGTTTTAGCAGTTTTCCGGATTTACTGATCTTCAGTTCTTAAAGTATTGACGGACTCTTGTTTCTCTTTATTCAGCTGATTGGTTCTTGCCATAATATGATTTCTAACAGGCTGTCAGATGTGTACCAACCTGACTTCTAGACATGTATATGGTGTTGGAATGTTTTTCAACGGTAGAAGAAGACTACTCCGATTGTTACTTCCCTATCAGCAGCATTTTTGTTATCTTTTCATATCAAACAGATGGAGCAAGAACAATGTTACACAGTGAGTCAACACAGTGTCATCAGCCCATCTAAAGATCTGTATGTGACTTGTAGGTGCAGTACAGAGTGATGACGGTTTCCACAGACACACGGCTGCAGTTCGCAGGACTACATTTATTCGTGACGTTTCAGTGCCCTTCATGTGGCAAATTATTTGCGTTGTGCCTCTCCTACGCACCTGCCTTGAAAAATGTTTTTGCTTGGTTGGGATGCACGACTTGGAGCTGGAATCACAATCGGTGCAGCCTCTGAATGCTTCTTGGAATATTTATATCGGAAAAATGATTGAAAATAGTGGTTTATTCATATTTAATCAAATATAAATATTTAATAAAAGTGAGCACAGTATATTGTTTGCCCACAAGAGGGCACTTAGAACTTTATTGTCATCTCTGTAATGCACTACATTAAAAGTGTAATTTTTGTCAGTGAGCAGCACTGTAAACTGACGTTTGTGGGAAGCACTGAAACTTTGGCAGTTTTACAAGTCTGGTAAAAATAGATTGTAGCTTTTATAATTACAGGCTATTATATTGTAGCTTGAATTGATTCATCAGTCAATAAACAATACATTTAACACTGATTGCTGTGTTTCACAGGTCCCAAAGGCGTGTGCACACGTGTCCATCATGCCGCTGTTTGGTAAATCACACAAGAGTCCCGCCGACATTGTCAAGACGTTGAAGGAAAACCTGGCCATCCTCGTCAAACAGGACAAGAAGACAGACAAGGTAGGGGAATCTATTTGATTGTGTCTGTGTGCGAATGGGTGTCCAGAGGCCCCAAGGGTGGGAGCGGGAAACAGCCTGCGCCTGTCATCTTCTGACGCTTCACTGTCAAGACTCTCTCACACATGCACACAGAAGATCAAAGAAGAGTCACAAGCCAAATCAAGCTCATGCTCTCTTTTCCTAATGATAGTTTCTACATGTTATTCCTCTAAATGATGCCTTCTTTGCCTCCATCCTTCCTCACCTGTAGTTTTCTGTTCTGCAGGCCTCTGAGGAGGTGTCTAAGTGTTTGGTGTCCATGAAAGAGATCCTGTATGGAAGCAATGACAAGGAGCCCCACACCGAGACTGTGGCCCAGTTGGCCCAGGAGCTGTACAACAGCGGCCTGCTGATCGCGCTGGTAGAAAACCTGCAGGTCATAGACTTTGAGGTAAGCAGAAGAAAGTATCACAGATGTGCCGCAGAAGCACACTTGTGATAAAGCTGACACAGAAACGCGATAGAAAATAAACATCCAGGAGCAGTTACTCGGCAGAGGAAACTTAACAGCTCTTCTAGACTTTTTAAGAAATGCTGCATATTGTTGCTGCAGTTTTGCAAGATGTAGTGAAAATAATGAAATTTGATGGTGTATTTAAAAACCTTGTACAGTTTTCTTACCATTACAGGCCTCCTCTGACTCCAACTCATAAATTTAAGTTATTTTAGGTTGTAGTACTGCTTTTAAAACAACTTTTTTTCCTACTGTACACAATTAATTAATTTTTAACGTGCTAGATGTTACAGATGCTGTTATGTGGTTAGTTCAGTTTTACGTGTGTTTCCAGGGGAAGAAGGACGTGTGTCAGATCTTCAACAACATCCTCAGGAGGCAGATTGGGACGAGGAGCCCCACTGTTGAATATTTCTGCTCCCACCAGGAGGTCCTCTTCATACTGCTGAAAGGGTGAGATAAACACACATTGGACATGCTGTCCTCAGCCTAATGGCGTCTTAACACAATATCTATGGCTTCTGTGACGAGGAGGGGGTGATGCGTTACTGTCTTTTGCTGTGTTTGAAGATATGAGATGCCCCAGGTGGCGCTAAATTGTGGGATCATGCTGAGGGAGTGCATCCGCCACGAGCCGCTCGCCAAGATAGTTCTCCATTCGGAGCATTTCCACAATTTTTTCAACTACGTGGAGATGTCCACCTTCGACATTGCTTCTGACGCATTCGCGACCTTTAAGGTAACTCTCTTTCTTCTTCTTTTGGCTGTCAGGTCAGGTGCTAGACTAGAGCCAGACTGGACTTTGACAAGTGTTTGGATTTGGATTTAGTAAACCAACATCCCACGCGAGTATCATTTGAATTTCTTTGATATTTTTGTTCCCCACATAGGCCTAGAAAAGGCAAATTTGTTTTCATGTTTTGTTGAGGAAAAGTCTTAACATGCGCTGATTTTTGCAGACATGTGACCGTTGACCATGTGACACTAACTTGTCAGCTATTTTGAAGTGTGATAATCGTAATTAAAACTGGAAAGTAAACACCTCCAGGAACCTCTGGCAACATTTGGGGAATACATTTTTTTTTTTCAGAGCAACTGATGGTTGTATTGCATCCAATACAGGAGACAAATGTTGGGCAGCGTGCGATTGTACAGTGTATACAGACATGTATGTATGTAAAAAGTGTTCGGTAACATTTGAATCCGTCAGCTAAGATGCATTTTTCTGTCTTCGTCCACAGGACCTCTTGACGAGACACAAAGT